TGTTCGTCAGGCTGGTCTCAAACTCCTGACCTCGTGATCCCCCGACCTCGGCCTCCCAAAGTGCTGGGATTACAAGCATGAGCCACTGCGCCCGGCCAAGAGTCTTCTTTCAACTTGGAAGTCCTGCAAAATCCTGCCACAGGCCTCTTCTGGGACTCCGCCTACACCTTCCAGGGCCTGGGTGCACTCACACTCACCCTGGGCCTCCACTCACTGAGCCATCACAAAATGCATTCAGACATTTTATGCTTTCAGAAATCGTCACTAGGCACCTGCTCTGTCTCCAGCACTCTCCCATCTTGGGGATTTTAACAAAAATTGCATTTTAATCCTTGCCCTCAAGAATACACATTCTTTTCATTAAACTTCACAAACACAGTCAATTCAATATTTTATTCCCATTTCACAAGTGAGCAAACAGGAATGCATGAGTCTTTCCTAGCCAGCTCCACGTCTTATGTGCGCTAGAGCATCAGGGGGTGCGGTGTGAGGTCCGATGGGCCTCCTGGTCTCACGAAGGACTTGCCAGATGTGGTCACCTGACTGCAGAGTCTACCTGGATGGAGGGGGCCAAAGCGCAGGCACACCTGCAGGAAGACGTGTGTGACAGCCGCAGTGTGTCCAGTGGCGGGACAGGGAAAAGTGGCGTTAAAATCCAAGCATCCTATTTGAGGAGAGCCTTAACAGATCTTTTGAGAACTTATTTTTACAAATGAAAACATCCAGCTCGTCGTCAGAAGCAGATTTACGGATGAGCTAGGGAAGCAGAAGTGTCAGCCCCCACCCCAGCCGGATTTGCAGGGCGTCCTGCTGGGATCTGATGGGGAGGCAGGAGAAGACCCAGGAGGGTGCCCCGGAGTGGGAGCGGCTGCCAGGTTGTTGCCCAGGCCCCATCAGGGAGGCCTGAAGAGGAGCCTGTTCCCTCTGGAACGCGAGGGGTTCGTTCACGCCCCACACTAAAGAGAGCTTGAGGAGCACGGGGATTTCCGGTGTAAACAGCAGCAGGCAGGGTGAGAGGCTCCATCAGAAGCAGCAGTGCCAACGTCTAGTAACGAATAAATGAACAAAAAAACAGCAAAGGGAACCATGAGCCAGGACCCCCTCAGGGACTATCGAGATTCCTGGGGATGCAGTCAGGGCGAGCAGGAGAAGCGAGGGCGCCCACCGTGCCCACCCCGTCACGCCACCCGGCTCCCAGAGGCCTCTCTGCTCCTGGGGCATCCCGTGCGGCTTGCCCTGGGATGCGAGAGGACGCGGGAGCTGATGATGCTGGAGCTGATGACGCCGGGGTTAAAGTCCCCGCTGCTCCTTCTCCCACTGAACCTAGGAACATCATCAGCAAACACAGCAGTTCACAACCACAGAGTTCTGGGATGAGCAACAATTACTGGTGATTGTCTTAGATGTTCTAGGGCTATAAAAACAAATACCATACCTCAGGCAGTGTAGAAACCAGAAACTTATTCCTCCAAGTTCTGGAGACTGGAAGTCCGAGACCAAGGCGCCAGCAGATTCGGCGTCAGGCCAGGGCTGCACTGTGGTTGGTAGACAGCGCCTTCTCACTCTGTCCTCACACGGGAGAAGGGGTGAAGGAGCTCTCTGGGTCCCTGTTATGGGGGCACGGATCCCATCAGAAGGCCTCCTCACTTCCCACATGCCCCTCCCCCTCACACCATCCCGGTGAGGGTCAGGATTTCAGTGCACGCGTTTTCAGGGGACACGGTCAGGCAACAGCAATGATTATTTAGAATTTTATGAATATTGTGTTATAATTATGAGATGCAAACATCACATCAAAAAAAATAATAACTTAGACCAGTGGTGTTGATGAAGAATACTGAAAATATTTTTATACTGAGATAGGATTTCCCCAAAAACAACCACTAATATCCCCAGTTGAAAACGTATTACAATCAAGTTCTGCTATGAATTTTCCCGTTTTCTTCAAAAAAATTTTTTAAACATGTATTACAAAAACAATATCTAGAAAGCTTGATTATATTAGTGCAGATATTAAAGAGATGTTTCTAATAATTATGTAATCTGCCTGCGCTAGTAGAGTGTTTCTAGGTATATCCCTAACACATATCTGCTCTCAGCAGATGGGGGAGCCGAAGGGAGATGGTGTCCCCTGGAGTCGGGCGCGCGCTCCTCTGACTCCCCCAGCCAAACTCCACCTTATTTTGCTGGCCATCACACCGCTTACGGACAGGGTCCGTCTAACACTTAATATACAGGTGGAATACAATATTATATATAGAGAGAATAAACATGTATGTTATATACATATATAAAACATTATAGGCCAGGTGCGGTGGCTCATGCCTGTAATCCTAGCACTTTGGGAGGCCGAGGTAGGTGGATCACCTGAGGTCAGGAATTGAAGACCAGCCTGGCCAATATGGTGAAACCCTGTCTCTACTAAAAATACAAAAATTAGCCAGGCGTGGTGGCACACACCTGTAATCCCAGAGGCCATAATCCAATAATCAGGAGGGTGAGGCAAGAGAATCACTGGAACCCAGGAGGCGGAGGCTGCAGTGAGCCAACATCGTGCCACTGCACTCCAGCCTGGGTGACAGAGCAAGACTCTGTCTCAAAAAAAAAAAAAAACACACACACACACACATTATATACAGAAGTTTTTCACCTCACCCATAGTTAAGTGCCAGACGGCCCCTGGCCTGTAGCACAGTGAGGACTCCGGTTGACCCGCATGTCCAGGACCCCCTGGGAGGGAGGGAAGGCCCCTCAGAGGCTGAGGAGTTGTGAGGAAGCCGAGGCACGGGACTGCATGGAAGAGGCGCTCCGCACACAGGACATGCCATCTTCAGCAAACACCCAACAGGACAGAAAAGGAGGCAGAGGCGCCTTCCTGCCCCGGAGGCCACCGGCCACATCTGCCACATGCGCTGTGAAGAGCTGAGATGCATCCTGACGTCGACAAACCAGTGGCTGAGAAAAGTGAAGAGACACCGGGAAGTTTGAAAACAGACTGAATAGCTGGTGATATTAGAAAACTGTCTAAAAACTGTGGGTGAGATAAGGAGATTGCGGTTATGTTTTCACCCATGAGACTGGGGAAGCAGGAGGGGCGCAGGTGACTAGCCTTGAGAGACAGCTGAGTTTGGGGTGAGTTCATTATTCTGCTCTCTCTACTTTTGTACATTTGAAATTAACTTTTAAACCCAACCTTTCTATAAGCTTGATGCTTCCTATAATATAGAAGATTTTTAAGCAACATTATCACTCTATAAAAGTTTCAAAAAGCTCTGAAAGTTATACAATGAAGGGCAAACTTCCTCCGCTCTCAGAGCCCCAGCTCCCAAGATCCCCCCTGAGAGGCAGCTCCAGCCGAGCGCCCATGACCAGCGCTCACCACATGCATGAGTACACGGACACACACATGCGCACACACATGCATCCCGTGTGCATAACTGTCATACTGTACGTATTGGTCTTTTTGCTTTTTCTCATTGTCAGACAGCCTTTTGCTGGCAACCAACCTAGTAAAATAATGCTAGTCTACCGCTTGCTTACCACTGCTTCCCTGCGGGGCTGGGACACTAGACAGTTGACTAATGGCCGTCCTGTGTCTTGTCCACAGCCTGTCAGGATGCCCGAGAGCCACGTCAGCGATGAAGAAGGCAAAGCTTTCTGGAGAGCAGATGCTGACCATCAAACAGCGGGCCAGCAACGGTGAGCACCCCCCAGCCCTCGTGGCACACATGGTCAGGAAGGCCCAGCGGGCACGGCCACGCCAGCTCTGTGTCCTTTAACAGTTACAGCTCACTTTTCTTAGAAAGCAGGGGCAGGGATAATTCTGGCCCTCTCATCTATAAAGCTAAGCATCTTGAGAAAAAAAGCAGCCTTTCTCAAAACCGTCTCCCCCCTTCACCAACTTCACTACTCGCCGGAATCACAAGCCCAAGTCCTGAGAGTCTCTCCAGCACTGGTCGATTTGCTCCCTGGAACCCCAGTGTGCCCACATTTCTGCCTCTGTCCCTCAGGCCCTAATCTGCAGTTTCTCCACCCAGGAGCAGCTTTGGGGCCCCCCAGGCCACAGATAACAAGGATGGCACCCCCTCCCCTGTTGCCCTCACTCTCCGCATGTCTAGTGCCTGATTTTCTTGATTCCACCTGCAAATCTGTTTTGTTCTGAGGGTGTCTCTTGTCACCAACTGGCACAGGTGTGTAGAGAGTTCTGCAGAGGAAAATTGGGGGCCTCTGGAGGAGCAGGAGAGAGGAGAGCCACTTAAACCCTTAGAAACATGCACAGTCCACTCTCAGGACCTGAGGACTCTATTTGCGAGTTCACCTCCCTGCTAAAATTAATTTGTAGACACAGGCAGTGATCTCAGTGCTTTTGTAGTTACTCCTGTGCATTCACAGAGCAGCTGAAGTGTCTGGTGTTCCTAAGTGCAGGGGGCTGTGATGTGCCTCACAGAGAAAACACACACGTTAGCCAGGCTCCCTTCGGACACAGGAGTCATGGTTTTGACTGTTGGCTCTGAGTTCAATGTTAAGGAATCCACAGTGTCTATTAAATAAGTTGTCTTTAAATTGGAGCACACATAAAACAGGTGTATTAGTCCATTCTCATACTGCTGTGAAGAAATACCCGAGACTGGGTAATTTATAAAGGAAAGAGGATTCATCGACTCAGAGCTCCACATGGCTGGGGAGGTCTTAGGAAACCTACGATCATGGCGCAAAGGGAAGCAAACATGTCCTTCTTCACAAGGCGGCAGGAGAAAGAAGTTCAGAGAGAAGTGGGAAAAGCCCCTAATAAAACCTCCAGATCTCGTGAGAACTCAGTATCAGGAACAGCATGGAGGTAGCCACCCCCGTGATTCAATTACCTCCCACCAGGTCTCTCCCAAGACATGTGGAGGTTATGGGAACTATAATTCAAGATGAGATTTGGGTGGGGACACAGCCAAACAATATTAACAGGGTTTTTTTATTTTTCAACTGACAAAAATGGGACCAGAGGCTGGCAGGAGCTTGGCCCCTTGTTTCCAGAAGCAGTGATCCTGCTCTCAGCCTGTGTGCAGGTAACTTTATAGCGCATGGCCCCTGGGAATAATGAGATCAGCTGTAACCTGTAGCCATTGAGCAGACTGGTCCCCTTCACAGCAGAAGCCCAGCCTCCCCTTCTCAGCTCTCACTTGCAAGATGCACCCCTAATTTTGTATTTCTAAAAGGAGCCTGCAAAGCTCTTCAAGCACCACAAAGCACGGGATGCCCTGGGCTGAAGGCTCCCAGACCTGTGATGCACAGATCCGTCCTGTAAAGCTGACCCTGGGCAGAACCTGGGACCCTCCTGCTGTACGTTTACCAAAGGGCACCTCCTCCCCAAATCCACCAAGTGAGCCACACCTGAGCAGCTCCCAAGCATGCAGGCACGAAGCCCCTGGCCACAGCCATGGGGGTCTCCTCTCATCTGACTGTTATTGGTGGTCCTGAGGACAGCATGAGAGATGCCTGCATGTCCCACGTGTGTGCCTGCAGGATTCCCTGTGCCAGCAGCCAGCACAAACTATTCCTCAACACGTGGCCCATTGTTCACCAGAAAGGTCGTCAGCTTCCTGATATTCGTCCTCAGAGTCTGGGGCTCCTGGAGGCATCCTGCCTCCCAGGCTGCTCCTGTCAGTTTCTGCCTTCCAAATACCCTGACCCACCCGCACAACCTCTCCCTGCGGGTGCAGTCCCAAGCAGCCGGTGTAAGGACCCTGCTTTTGAGATACCAGGATAGCCAACGTTCGCTTCCCAGTTAGTACGGAGCAGTGTTCCTTGCCAGAAAGAAAACATTCCCTGAGCTCCATCCACATGCCAGGCGCTTTTCAAAATACTTAGAGGGCATTTCACCCCTGAATAACCCTGGATTAAAGCGGAAATCCTTAGACAATTGATCTGAGTCCATGTGCCTTTGTTCCCCATTAATGAAGGATGTGGCGGTTAGGTTAGGAGTCCAGTTCAAAACAGAAAAGGAAAGAAAGCATGGAGAGAACAGATCTGCCGACCCTAGAGGAGGAGCCATTCACACCTGGCCTGGTCCACCTGGGCAGCGGTGGGCAGATCCCTGAGGTGGCCGTCTCTTCGTTGTCGGGCCTAAGTCGGCATTAAGGGCACTAGACATTCCCATTACTGCCGCACACAAGGAGTTAATTCACAAAAACAGGTGCTAACTCGGAGGGATGAAGATAAGCAGTTGGTCTGTGACTCTAAACTAGAGGAACCAACAACTGGGCTTCATCCCACCAGAAAGCAGCCAGGGCACGGGCACTCCAGGGTCACCGGCCACCCGCTGGGCCCAGCTCCTGCTGCTGGCCAGCCTTCAGCCAGGTCGCTGCATTTCACCCGAGCTGCTGGACACACAGTTCGTGTCGTGCTAAGTTTCAGGACAGAAACAGTTTCCCTTCTGCAGATCCTAACGCATGCACGTCCACGGGTGAAAAAGGAGCTGCAGGTCACTGGGAGAACAGGTGGTGGAAGTGGGTCCCACCCAGGTCTTCCTAAGTCCAGGTGGGTGCTGACGCCTGGGGCTGTTGATTCCTGACACTGTTTGCACCAAACTGAGAGAGTTCTTTTTTTTTTTTTTGAGACGGAGTCTCGCTCTGTCGC